TACCATTTTCTCTTTGATTATAGCCTCCATAACTTTACCAGTTATACAAGTTAGACTGATTGGCCTATAGTTTGACAAATTACTTCTATCCCCCTTTTTTGAAAATGGGCGTTATGTTGGCATGCTTCCAATCAGAAGGTACCACACCTTCAGATAAGGATTATTAAATGCTCAAGTAATGTTTGTTAAGCGATGGACTGGCATCCTGTCTAGGGTATCCACTGACTTGTGCACCATGGGACGTGCTCAAGGTATGTGACTCAGAACTGACCCTATAAGAGGTTATTAAAGAGATCGATACTCATCTAATGATTTTACCTAAAGAATCGTACATGTTTCGAACATGCATACAGCTGGCTGGATGTTGCACTAAATTAATTTAGGTTCTTTGCTCTGTTCTACAGTAAGAGACACTCTAACTGGACCTCTCCTGGGTCTAGTTCTCAGTACCCACAAGTCCATTTCCTTGGTCACAATGCATGCTGTGCTTTGGGTGTCCTCAACTCTCTTCATAACCTCTCTAGTGCTGTGCTCTTCCTCTTCCTCGCCCCTTTTGATGGCTGTTTGAAGGCCTTGCCGTCTCTTTCCCTCTTCCTCTGTACTTTTCCTCTTCCAGTTTGATGGCTGTTTGAAGGCCTTACCGTCTCTTTCCCTCTTCCTCTGTACTTTTCNCCGTCTCTTTCCCTCTTCCTCTGTACTTTTCCTCTTCCAGTTTGATGGCTGTTTGAAGGCCTTACCGTCTCTTTCCCTCTTCCTCTGTACTTTTCCTCTTCCTCTTCCAGTTTGATGGCTGTTTGAAGGCCTAACCGTCTCTTTCCCTCTTCCTCTGTACTTTTCCTCTTCCTCTTCCAGTTTGATGGCTGTTTGAAGGCCTTCTCTCGTCTGGAGAACCTGAAGATCCACCTGCGCAGCCACACGGGGGAGAAGCCGTACCTCTGCCAACACCCTGGCTGCCATAAGGCTTTCAGCAACTCCAGCGACCGCGCTAAACACCAGCGCACCCACCTGGACACCGTGAGTATGACATACACATCGACACTCATATAACACACCCCCATGGCCTCAGTATCGGCCCATCCGTGTGATGCATATTTGGCGAACACGCATGGAGTTGATGTGGTGTGTCTCTTTTCAGAAGCCGTACGCCTGCCAGATCCCAGGCTGCTCAAAGCGCTACACGGACCCGAGCTCACTGCGCAAACACGTGAAGGCACACTCCTCAAAAGACCAGCAGGCCCGGAAGAAGGTGAGTGTGGTGAAGCTCTTCCTCCTCATCTCAGAGCCAGGCCTTTCACCTGCCTTTCCTGCGATGTCCTCCAGGGGGGGCTGCGCATCACTCTCTTTAATTTGCTCAGCCCTGTTGTTAAGGCTGCTTGGTTTTTTTGTGTTTTCCATTCCTAAATATGTGCCCTGGGAAAAATATATCTTTAATCCTTCGGTTAGAGTGTGGACATGGGGTGGGGGGGACATGGATGGGGGGGATCATTTTGACACAGTGAGTATCACCAAGCATGGAGAGCGTTTTGCTGGGTGAGTTTGTGTGGAACTGAGCCCACAGGGACCAGGTGTGGGGGGGTGTGGGGGGGTTAATGTTGGCCAATCACAGCACAGGCATTGTTTTACTGCCAGTCCTAATTCCAACCATGCAGAGCAGCATCAGATGCAGCCAGGGGTCCAAGTAGGAGACACAGTGAGGGGTTCAAGACCCGAACCCCAAGTCCACTAGCTCAGAATGTGTTACGAGGCAGTTGGGTCACTCTAATTGCTTATGTATCGTTTTCGGGGACCAAGCCCACGGCCTGCAGGGATACCAGCCTCAGCATAGTAAAGGCATTACGGACTCCGCATATGGGCAGAAAAACAAGTCACATGAGTCACTCTGTGGCTGTGAAAAGTGAGGACTAGACAGTGTTAGGGAAATAACATGACATGTCCATTGAAACGACAGATTTCAATGAAGTGCCTTTATATAAACCACAGCTGTGGAGAATCAGGCTTTCAGATGCAGTGGGTGGGATTACAGTGGCCTGCCAATCACTGCCCGGTTCAACAAGAACCAGTTATATCTGTGACTGACAGCACATGAAGGTTCTGCCCACCCTGGATTTCAAAGCACGTAATTCCTCGTATTGCAAATGTAGATATATGATTTTGGGAGCTGGGAAGGAATGCCTTCCTGAAGCTCAGCGTCAACACTAGATGAGCATTTTTCCGGTAGGCTCCGTGTCCCGCTGATCCAGCAACAAAATCACGACTCCAGCTGCTGAGCTCCGGCCCGCTGTCACAGTACAGATGTCAGAGGTAGTGTTAACTGTTAACATGGTCACCTGGCTTGGGCTGGGATGAGGGGATGTGGGGGAGGGGCAGAGCAGCATTGACCTTGTAAGAGGAGGGCGTTGGCCACAGCCCTGTCACCTGATTGGCTGAGGGGGGTAAAACATAAAACAAACCAGTTCACAAAGTTTCTAAGGATTGTGGAGTGACTACTAAAATATTAAAGTCTTATCTGCTTTATTACTTACTGATTTTATTTTTAGTCTGGGCCTTGGAAACCTTCAGCTTAATTTTCTTACCAGTCAGGCCGTTTGGCAGAGGAGCTGGGAAACAGCCTGTCAGAGAGCCTCCCACAGACAGAGTGAGTGTGACCATGTGACACTGGGACCCAGCACTGGGTAATACGATTGTTAGGGGGCGTCCTCTTCGGGAGTAATGGTGATCACACGAAAAGTGAAGGGGGCCGTCAAAAGGGGTGACGACAAAAATATAGAGCGAAACCTGGTGGTGAAGGACGGAAATGAACCAAAAAGTTCATGAACCAAAACGTGGCGGGGTTAATGGGTGTTTTAGAACATATATGTAATTATTTTAAATAATCAAATAACTATTGTTATCCACAGCTTCTAAAACATTAATGTAGTACTGAAGTAGATTTACCTGATAGTAGATTTACTTTTTCAGTAAGAATTTAAATGAATTTTTTTTATATCTGTGTTTTTTAAAAATAATTTTCATCATTTGTCACCTAATCCAATTATGGAAAAAATAAAATGAAGAACTCTGTCAAGTCCCCAAACAGTATATTTGGTTAAACTAAAGTTTTGTGTATCTTTTCAGACAGATAGTAAATAAGAATGAAAAGGAATTAAATTGAAATGAGTTAATGAGTTAATCAGAATGAAATTTCGTGTTGGATCCAATAGCAGTGTGCCGGAGATTTTGGACGGGAAAAGAGAAAATGTTCCAATTCCGCTGCTGGCTTCCGTGTTCCCCCGAGGGCCCGGAAAGCGGCCCTCAGCCTCCGCGTCTCCTCTGCCGCGGTGCCGACTTGGCCATGCGCTCTGTTCCCACAGCTGCGGTCCAGTGCCGACCGCGAGCAGGACGGGCTGACGGACTGCCTGACCATCCAGCCCCTGCAGCCCCCCCTGCCACCGCATGAGGTGGGGGAGTCTGTAGGTGGCCCGTCACCCGCACCCACCCACGACCTGTACAAAGGTAAACAGACACCGTAAAATTCCCCTACAGAATATCCCTCACGCCTTCTTAAGGGTGTGGAAAAGTGCCATGTCTCTGTATATTTATATGTACATTGATTATTCATAGGGCTTTAATCTAAAGGATTCTTTGCAGAGCTGCCTGTTTAGTTCCTAGTCCAGAACCTTAATTTTACTGAAGCATCTTGATAGCAGGTGATCGTGCTGGTCATACACATCCCCTTGGAGTTTTTGTCTCAAGGGTACAACCGCTGATTCTCTTCCAGGGATTTCAGAATGCAGCCCTGTGGTCAAACAGCTCTGTCTGTCCAGCTCTCAGTTTCGGTCCCCATCCATTCCCCCCTCTTAACCTCAGGTCTGATGTCCCAGTCGCCGGGAGCAGCATCAGGTCACCTCTGTGCAGGTCCAGGTCCAGCACACCTGTGCCCCCTGCAGGACAGTCACAGGTACAGCGCCTCTAGCTTGCTCATCTGACACACAACAGACGCGTGCAGGATTCTCTATTAAAATGTGAGCCGCTAAAATATCCCGATTCCCATCCAGCAACCGACTAAGTGGCTCGAAGGCAGGTCTCCATTCTCTGTAGAAAAAACGGCAAATGGAGCAGAGGTGATTGTGAAACTCGATATAGTTTGTCCCATCAAGTGCCATATTTCTGCACGATGGAAGCGCTCTACTCATTGTGTTGCTTAACTTGCTTATAAAGGCTATAATCAAATCGTGCGTTTTGTTGTCACTTGTTGCTACGATGGGTTAAACAATGTGAGAGCTTAGCAACCACTGAATAGGGAAAGTACTGAGAGGGTTCGCTGATGCCGCGGTGGAGTATGGAAGTGGACAACTTTTACTATGTTTAACCGTGGCTGGCAATCCCTCAGGAATCCATCCGAGAGGATCTTTTATAGAAAAGTAAGCGACTTAGAGTAGAATGTTCCTGTTTGCTTTGAATGCTGGGTAATGAAAGCGCGGCGGTGAGTCCCAGAGGAGCCCCCCCCCCGGGCTCCGCTCCCCCCCCCGTTCCCGCTGGGCTGCTGATTGAAACTCCACTCAAGGTTTCCATTCACACAACATGAAAGGGGAGAGAGAGAAAAACATACACACACACACACATAAGAAAAGACTTATGGTGTTCAAAACGGCGTGATTAGGAGAAGAATAAGGGAAAGAGAGTGTGCATTATGCCGGAGAAGTAACTATCAGAAATAGTTAGCAGTTTGTGGGTTATTGGGGGTGGGGGGAGGGGGGGGGGTTTGTCTCAGAATCCAACTTGCTGTGCCCTAAAGTGCTACAACCCTGGCTGCCCCACCTAGGAATCCACACAGAGACTGATCTGGCCTCTCTCAGCTGTGATACTCACCATCTCCCCCCTACACCATACAACTGGGTTATATGCTGCCATGTGACAATGACACTTGGGGGAGGGGCTTGTACGTTTGCATCGGATCTCGCGTCTGCTGGCTCCCTGTGCAGCCTGACGTGGGCGACAAGGCCCCCAGCCCACGGGGCACATAACCAGATTACCTCTGGGGTTCTTTTTCATCTCTCCCAATCCGTGCTGAAAGACGGGAGGATTCCGGTGAGTGGGGGGGGGGGGGGGGGGGGGGGGGGGGGGGGGG